AGGTTTATAAGAAGTCTTACATGCATTAGCTATGCCATATCATGTGTTCTGTTGTAGCAATCGTATTTCTTTGCGGCAGGGCCTCTTAACCTTTTTTGTGTGTCATTGTCCTCTTTGGTGGTCTGGTCAAGCCTATGGACCCTTTTTCAGAATAATGGTTTTTAATAATTGAAAGAAATGCTGATAATCTCAGCTGGAGAGCAATGAAAATAATTGTGTATTGGGGTTCTTGAGATGTATGTCTTACAAAGCTTTTTTACCTTCTTTCTCTTAGCTGCTTGATTTCTAGTTAACCCTCAGAGAATTTAATGCATAGCCCTTAGAGCTACAGAATTACAAAATCTCATAGCTGAAAGGGGCCTTAGAGGCCCTTTAGTCCAACCTATACCCAAACAGAGATCCCTTGTACAACTTATACCAGTAGTGGTCACCTAGTTCGTATTTTAAGATCACTTATGAGAAGTCTATTACCTCCTGAGGCTCCCCAATCTACTTTAGAGTACTCTGAATTATTAGGAAGTTTTACCTTATGGCAAAATAAAATTTGTTATCATATTATACTACCCAAGGAGTTTCCAACCATTTTCATCCTTTTGCTCCTTGGCTTTCAGTAAACCTTCCCATGTCCCCTATTTAGCAGGGAGGAAAGAAATTCTAGAGTTTACCTATATTCACATTAAGAAATAAAAACAAAATGGAGATGATTAATTTTTCATTAAGGAAATATTATTTGATATATAATTTTATAGTATCATAAAGTTTAAAAATCTTTATCAAAATATTTCTAAACTAATACTGCTTCTCTTAGAATATTTCAGTAGGTTCATACACTTACTCATCAAATATTCCCTGTATTACCTTGAAAGCTTTTCATCCTCCAAGGTATTGTCATATCACAAGCTAGAGATGCCTACCTGCTTAAGCAACAACATGGTAGGCTAACAATCAGCTTTAGGTCAACTAAAGCCTTTGGCCGTCACAGTCTATTGCTGAACTTTATATCTCACATTTTGTACTTGTTCAGTTGCTATTTTTCAATCTAAAAATCCAGCTGAAACTCCAGCCTAGCCCAGTGAATTATTATAATACTTGTTGTCTAGGTCATTTATTTGGCAATTAATCATGTCCTGCTGTGTAAAATTCTTTGTATTGTTTTATTGAACTGTTATTTGTCTTCTATTATCAACTTTTTCATGTGTTTATGTAATGTTTCCCCAACTAGATTGCCAAGTTCCTTGAGGGCAGGGACTGAGTCTTATTTATCTCTCTATGCTTCACATCACCCTAAACAGTGATTTTAGTATGGGAGGTGTTTAATAACTATTCCATGATGGATGCATTTGTTGAACGGACTAGCCAATAGTCAATTGATTCTTACAATAAAGAAGGGTGGTCTTTGCTTCTGTGTCTATTTATGCCCCTGTTGAAGAACAAATAAATAGCTTTTGAATAGAAATTAATTATAGTAATTGACAACCAGTTTATGAATGAAAACCATTTTCAGTTTTTCTATTATCAAGTTTCTGAAATGGAGACATGAAAATGATACAGGCAGTGAAATGAACATTGGACTGAATGAGTCGGCAGACTTGAATTTCTTTTGTCACTGAGTTACCAATTACTTATCAATTAGGCAAGTTACTTTACCTTGGTAGAACTCAATCTCCTCGTCTATAAAAATTGATAATTGAACTATATGATTTCTTAGATTTTTTTATATCTAACACTATATATATATGAATATATGTGTGAATATATGTATATATGTGTATATGTATATACTTATATACATATATACATAAAATCTCATTCTTGAATATCCATGTTTCTTCTCACCCAAAATGACAAAGCATAGTAGGTGGTTACCTAGGCAATATTATCTAAAGGTCATCAAAAAACCCTCCTTCTCCTTACTCCCCTATTGGCTTCCAAATCAACCATTACAGATTGATTTTATTTGGGTTAAGGTATTTGATTTTCAAAAGTTTCCTATTAAAATGCAAATGTTCCTTTCTCATTTATTGACAAAACCATTAGTAAGCTAGTTTCTAGGGTTAATTTCAATTACCTACATAGATACTAGGGTGGGGATTCTTAATATTGGGTCCATAAACTTCTTTTTTAAAATATTTCTATAAATGTATTCAATACAATTGATTTTCTTTTTAATCCAAAGTATTTCATTTTATGCATTTAAGATTTTATTTTGAAAAGGGTTTCACCAGACTGCCCAACGTATCTATGATGAAACAGACTGCTAAGCATACTTGTCCTAAAAGTGAAGGCATAGGGTGGGCAAGTCAGTCAAACAATGAGCATTTATCAAGAGTTTACTCTGTTACCTTCAGCGTGCTAACCCCTAAGAATATGAAGAAATGGAAAAATAGTATATACCCTCAAAGAGCTCACAAGGGAATTGAGAGAGAAAACTTGTAACAACTATAAAAGATACACATGGGATAACAAAATACATATAGGACAAATTGGAGGCAATCTCAGAGGGAAGGCATTAGTATTAAGGGGAACTAGAAAAAGTTCCTTGCTGAAGGTGTGATTTTAGCTGAAACCTGAAGGAAGCCAAGGAAACCAGAAGGTAAAGACAGGAAAGGAGATAATTCCAAGCATGAGGGTCAGCTAGTGAAAATTCACAGTAAAGAAATGGAAAATGTTATGCTAGGTTCAGCAAAGGAGGCCAGAATCACTGGAACCTAGAATATATGGAAGAGACAAAGATGTAAAAAGAATGGAAAGATAGGAAGGGGCTAGATTATGAAGAGCTTTAGAAATCACACAAAAATTTCTTATATTTGATTACAGAGGTAACAGAGTCTCTGGAGTTTTTTCATAAAGTGGAGGAGAGACATGTTCAGACCCCAGCTTTATGAAGATTGGTTTGATGAGCTGAATTTTTGAATGGGGTGGGGACTGGAACAGGGAAAGATGAGGCAGGAAGTAAAACCAGGAGGAACAACATACCAAAATGTTTGAGGTGAAGAGGACCTGAACCAAGGCAGTGGCATTATCAGAGGAGAGAAGAGAACATATAAGAGTGATGTGGTGAAGTTAGAATTGACTGGACTTACTAATTGATTTGATATTGGGGGTGGAAATATGGGGAGGTGGGAAGTGAAAGTTAAGAGACAAAGATGACACTTAGGTTTCCATCCTAGGTAAGACTGGGAGGATGCTGGGTCCCTCAAAAGTGAAAGAGATGTTTGGAAGAGTAGAGGGCTTGGGGTGAAAGATAAGTTCAGTTTTGGACATGTTGAGTTCAAGTTGTCTATTGGACATCCAGTTAGAAACATCTAATAGGCAATTAAAGATGTAATACTACAGGTCAGGAGAGAGGTTAGGGTAGGCTAAAGTTATTAGAGAAACATCTGCATAGAGATAATAAATTAATACATCAAAGTTGATGATATCATGAAGTAGAATAACATAGGGGAGAGAAGAAAGCCCAGGACAGAGTCTTTGGGGATATCCACAGTTAGTGGGTATGATATGGATGAAGATCCAGCAAAGAAAACAGAGAAAGAGCAGTCAGAGAGGTAAGAGGAGAAACAGGAAAGAGCAGTGTTGTGAAAGGAGAAAGAGAGAGAAAGAGGGAAGAGAGAGAGAGAGAGAGAGAGAGAGAGAGAGAGAGAAGAGAGAGAGAGAGAGTTGGCAAGGATAGAGAGCGGTCAGCAATGTCAAAGGCTGCAGAGATTTCAAGAAGGATAAGGATTGAGAAAAAGCTATTAGGTAGGGCAATTAAGAGATCACTGGCAACTTTGGAGAGAGAAGTTTGTTAAAGTCTTGATTTAATTCAATTAAACAAACATTATTTGGCACCTACTGTTTGTAATGCATTAGGGACACAAAGATTTTTTTTAAATTATATGTTTCCTATTCTAGAAAAGTTTACATTCTTAGCAGATGAATGGGTGGGGTAGGTTAGAGATGGGAATAGAGAATGTACAGAATGTAGCCTATTGTGCTGGAGAATAGGCCTTGGTGGCTATTCCACTCAGGGGCCCTGAGTAGCTAGTGAACCTTGGGAGGACAGTGGGTATTTGGAAAGAGCAGCCACTTAGAAAGGGACCAGACCATAGGGAGAAAGAGGAGGGCCTAGGAAGTGACCTTTCCTCAGCTTCATGGCTGTGGGTTAAGGTGAGCTATTCTGTGCCTGAGGCTCCCCCGTCATTTCCCCGGGGGTTCCCAGGTTTTGTCCCAAAGCTTCAACAGGAGAAGTGGCATCTCTGAGTTCAAAAGGAATGCTTTATGACCACATTTGCTCTCTGTTACTGGGCACCAACATAGGGGGGAAACTTGTATGTGTGTTTGGGTGTTGCTTGTCTTTTTTCTTGTCAAGAACTGCTGGGAGAGCTGGAATCCTATCCATGTTGCCCACAGTGAGTGCCAACCTCGTGTAGCCTCTGCTTAGAACACCGAGCCTTTCCGTTTCAAAGACAAAGCCACCTCTGCTCTTTGGAGGCTGGCTTTCTGACAGTTGATGAATATTCATTTAGTATTACTAAGTAATTCCCTTGCATCTTAATCGTTTCTTTGGAGACTACACGTACAGTGTTCTACTTAGTTCTGGAAGCTTTTTTTCTTCATTTATAAATAGCTCTCAGAAACTTGAAATGAGAACGTATTTACTTTCCAACTTTCTCTGTCAGTCTTAGGCAGTAGCATTAAGAATCATCTGTGACTTTTGGCCCTTTTAAGACAATTTCTTTTCTTGGGGAGGAAATGATCACTTGGATAGATGCTGCTGAACTTAACAGGGCTGGAGGGAAGAGGGAATGAGGTCAGCAATCAAGCCATTAGAATCCACCTCTCTTGAATTAATCTTTTTTCCCCATTCCCTCCCCCCTTTTCCTTTTCTTTTTTTGTTAAATAACTACCTAGACCCTTCTAAATTAGAATAGTTATGTATCATTTTCTTCAATATGTTTTAATTCTATTAATGCAGTCTCCTTTCCTTCCCTCCCCTTTCTCTGTAATAGCATCACTACCAAATTGTTGCCTGCTTTGAAGGCCTCAGTCGGTCACATCCTCCTTGCACAATTTCAGCTCTAAACAGAGGGAGAGAAATCACCAAGGTAACGTTGGCTGCCCACAGCACCAGCAGCTGAAAAAAAAAAGCAGGGGTTGGGGGAAGGGAGGAGAGGTGGGGGTGGAGAGGAAGGAAGAGTAACAAGCAGATAGACAGTTCTTACTTAATATCTGTAATATGTTAGAAGATTTTGTGCTTTTGTCTCTTAGGCTAATAGGAAGTTTAATCAGAGGAGCAAAAGAGAAGGACGCGTTGCTTGGGCATGAATAATCAGTGCAGAATGAGCTGTCCAGGGAACTAGTCTATTGGGAATCAGGCTAAGCTAAAGCAAAGCAAGGGTTTGGAAGAGCCCCTCCTAATGTGGAAGCTGTGCCAGGGAATAATTGAAGGCTGGGTTTGTCTGTGCTCCTCACTTAGAAGTAGAAGACTGGGCAATCTTTCACAATAATAATTTTGGATATTAATTTATTTTCTTTTGTATGGTATGAAGATGGGGCTAACCTAAGACAAAGTGCTGAGGCACAAGAAGATGGATGTCCTCCTTCCTCCCTCACAGAGTCCATTAGCAAGTTCTGCTTTCCTGATATCTCTGGCATTAGTCCCTTCCTCCCCACTCACATGGCCACTGCCATGGTGTAGGCTGTTACCACATCTTACTTGGCCTCCTTTATTATAATAGCCCCATAAATGGTTTCCTTGCTTCTATTCTCTTTCAAGTAAACCCATCTTTCCTGTAACTGCCAAATGTATGATACAATGGAAAGAAGTCTGGATTAGTAGTCAAAGGACCAGAATTCAGATCTGCTCTGCCATCAATAACCCACATGACCCTAAATAGATCATTTAAACTTGTTTCCTCATCTGGAACTGTGGGGGCTAGTGCCAGGTGAACTTTAAGTTCCTTCTAGTTCTACGTCCTTTTATCCTAAGTCTAACCACATCATTTTCCTGTTTTTTAGTTTCACTGTGTGAATGTAGGAAAAAAAATCCAAAGTATTTATCACAGCATTCAAGGACCTGAAATTTAGCTTCAATCTACCTCTCTAGTCTTATTTCACATGATTATTTTTAATGTACTTTGTGTTCCAACTAAACTGGAATACAGGCCACAACTTGATCTCATCTTTCCCTTTTCTGCTTCCATACTCTGCTGAATGCGACACTCCCTTCTTGAGACTGACCCTCTGTACTGACAACTTTTGACATTCTTCTCCTTTTAAGGTCCAGTTCAGGTACTTCCCTTGCATGAAGTATTCTCCAGGCCTCCCAGCTAAACATAATACTTTTCCTTCTCAAATATTTCCAGAGTCCTTTTTCTTCATCTCTTCTTTGGCTTCATCCCATCCTACCTTACTGCACCCTTATTTGTATTCCTGCTATATCCTCCTGTGAAATGATAAACAGAATGCACTTGCTTAATTCTTTGTGGCAGCAAGGCAGGGAATCGTCAATACTACTATCAGGCAGCCTAGCTCCTGGTCCTAGCAACCTAGCAACCTGCCCTTAGCAACCTTAATGACCCTGGACAAGTCTCTTAGCCTCTCTATGCAGACAACCTAACTTAGATTCAAAGTGTTTGACCTGGAAAGGACTTATAATCCACTTAAACTAACTCCTGATTTTATAGATGTGGAAACTGAGGCCCTAGAAGATTAGTTACATAGGTGATATATGGCAGGGGCTGGATTCAGACTCGAATAATCTGACTTCCAATTCAGAGACAGAGCTTCCATGTATATGTGATAGCATTAGCTTCTTTAGATTCATAAGTATACTTATGCATTGAGTATCACAACCTTAATTATCAACCAGTATTCATGTTCCTATAAATACTAAAACTTATAGGTATTATATGGGTATATATATATATATATATATATATATATATATATACATAAATATATATATATAAATATATATATATAAATATAAATATATAAATATATATATATATAAATATATATATATAAATATATATATATAAATATAAATATATAAATATATATATATATAAATATATATATATATATATATATATATAAATATATATATATATTTATATATATATTTATATATATATATATATATATATGTATATATATGTATATGTATATATGTATACATATATATGTTATTATAGATCAAATGAGTAGCATATTTGCTGTTACATGGTAGGCAGTCGCTTTCAAAGATAAATGTCTCTTTCTGCCTAGTCAATTCACCTATCCATTCATCTCCAAAATATTGAATATACCATGTACTTTTGGGGTAATTGAGAGGGTCAGTATTTCCACGTAACTTCTTTGAGTGCTTCTGATGATCATTATGATGGCTGGAATCATACTTAATGGGCTTTCTCAGAACTGTGTTTTTCCTAGTAAGCCAAAATAAGTTCAGAGTTATAATCTTAAGTCCTCAGAAAGCAGACAGGAAATATTCATCAGGGAAATAACTATGTTGTATGGGGATGAGGTCTCACAAATTTTGGATTTACTTGTAACCTCAATTACCTGATTCAATTCTGCTCTTCCCCAGCTGAATTAATGCTGCAGTGACTTGGATTCCTATACCTTGATGGTCAACCACGCAGATTGAGTGGATAGATGAGAGAGAAAAGCATAATTTGAGATTCCAGACACAGCCATGCCTGTTGTTAGACTTTGTAATGGTTGCCTGACTGCCATTGAGATGTACCACCCTACTTTAAAATATATCTTTGGTTTCTAAATATTCACTCTGATATGATAAATAGCACATCAACAACTTTTATGTAAAGTAGGTACCAATGAAAATTGTGGCTGCTATGAGAATGCTGACATTGACAATAAAACTTGCTAATATGGTAAGATTTTTGCTTCCAATTAGATGAATAAAACAGCCTTTCTCATTTTTAATTGCACCACAGCAGAAGATGTTTTGGCTCTTTTTCAATATATCCACAAAAAAGGATGGGAAATAGCACCTTGTTCTACAGTATCCTAAGGACTGAAAATTCAATGAACTTTTCAAAGCATCTTATAAAAACACTTGCCAACACCTACAAAAGTTAGTGGAGGGAAATGTTGGGAGACAACAGTCCAACAGAAGTTCCAAGGAAAAGTGGGAAAGGTATGTGCCATGTTTGGAAAGAAAAAGAATAATGTCTTGGTAATTTCTGGGGCAGCCACGTGGCTCAGGGGATAGAGCACTGGGCTTGGAGTCAGCAGGGGATAGAGCACTGGGCTTGGAGTCAGGAAGACCTGAGTTCAAATCTGGACTCAGACACTTACTAGCTGTGTGACCGTGGGTAAGTCACTTAAGCTCTATTTGCCTTAATCCACTGGAGAAGGAAATGGTACACCATCCCAACATCTTTGCCAAGAAAACCCCAAGATCAATATTAATGTGCTATTGTCCATGGGGTCCCAAACAGTCAGATGCAGCTGAATGACCGAAGAAGAATGACAACAATTTCTTCAAAGATTTGTCCTAGGGAGGTGACTCATATCACACATGAACCAACCTATACTACCATTCATAAAAAACAAACAAAAAACTTATATAAACAATAGCATAGAATAAAAAAGACACATATGATTATAAAAGGAAACAAAAAAATCGAAATATTCTCAGCAGCCAATCCTTAAATGAGTATATTTTTACTCTACTCTTCTCAGTATAGTCTGGATTCATGGGGTATCATTTCACTATGATCATTGGCTTACATTCCCACTAGCAATATTATATCATTATTAAGTATCAGTGATTAGTGTCGCAGTTCTATGCAACCACTTAATACCGATTAGCTTTTACAAAGGCAGATTTATTTCAAAGATATAGCAAGAAAATAGGATAGCTATTCTCCTTCCCCAGCATCTTGGGAAACATACTCTTCCCTATGCCACCTCAGTTGCTGGAGTAGAATTGGCTTAGTTCTCATATAACATTGGTGCCACCAAGTTCATGTTCAGTTACATGATAGTCAGAAGATTCCTTTTCTCAGATATCTAGGACTATGTCCCAGAGGTCACTCCCAAAGATTGCTCCTTTCTCCTCTGGACACCAGTACTGAACTGTCAACAAAATCTAGATGCTGGGAAGTTTGGACACTCTCCTAACATTTCTAAATCAAAAGATTTAAGGCTCTACTCCATTAACCTAGAAGGGAAAAGAACACATCCAGAGACCAAGCACTGAGGTCTGTTTCTTAAGACCACATGGCCTCCCAGATAAGAAGCCTCCAAGGTCTCTTACTTCATGTTATGAACAAAGAAGTTCAACAGATCCACCAAGAGTGCAGCCAAAGATCAAGGCATTGAAACTGACAGGACAATATCTCTACTGCAAATCAAAGACAATCTTCTTTAGCATCATTCCCTTTTTTGTGTGTTATCCTTTTCATTACAAGCTTTCACATTCTAATGTAATGGCTTTTGCTTTTTCATATTTGTAACCCCAGAGCTTAGTATAAATGCATTTATTCATTCAGAAAGAAGATGGGCTGGTCACATGATGGGAATGACCACATGATCTATGCCAAGACAAATCAAGAAACTCCTCAGCATGAAAACATCATGGAAAATATTTGACAACATGGACAAAAGTTGAAAAGAATGGGCAGGCATGGAAGGTTGTGATCATCATTGACGTAGTTGGGTGGTACAGAGACTAGAGCACTGGGCCTGGAGTCCGGAAGACCTATGTTCAAATCTAGCCTTTAGGTACTTACTACCTGTAAATTGAAGATAATAAGCCCTTACCTTGCAGAGTTGTTGTGAGGATAAAATGAGATAATAATTATAAAGCACTTAGCATAGTGCCTGGCACATAGTAAGCACTATACTAACATTTGCTATTATTAATTATTATTGTTGTTATTATTAGCTTTGGATGGAATACCCACAATGATTAGATCACAGAACCACTGGAATACTGGCTAGTCTTTACCTATTTATTGCCAGATTGCTTCCCAGTTTTGCCAAAAGCCTTTTGCCTCATAGTTCCCCTTTTTAGGCTTCAACAAATATCATGATATTATATATTTATTTTCACCTCTTGCTAGTCATCTGATACCAGATTTTTATAATTAAAGTGTTTTCCATAGAGAAATACTGGTAATGCTAAGGCCTCTGCCTTCCCGTTTTTCACTGTCTCATTTGATATTCTTGACATTTTATTCCACAAAGGATTTTATTATTACTTTATCTAGTTCTATAAAATATCTCCTAAGCAATTTGATGGACTTAGTACTAAATTTTTAGAGCAATTTAGGTAGTGTCACCATTTTTAATATATTAGTGTGGCTCAGTTATGAATACCAAATTGCTCTCCAATTGTTGAGTTTTTCTTTTATTTTCTTTTGTGAGAAATATTTTTGATTGAATTATTGTATGTCCTGTGTATGTTGATAGGTTAAATCCCATATAGTTAATGCACTTTGTTATTTCAGGTGAAATTTCTTTTCATATATCTTCCTCCTCATTTTGATTAGTACTATATAGAAATGATTTTCTGGATTCATTTTTATTTGTTTATTTATTGCATCATAGAAATGCAGATTTTGAAGAGTCTTCACTTAGTACAACCCATACTTAAACAAGAACCCCCATTATAATATATCTGGAATGTGGTCATCCATCTTCTGCCTGAAACCCCACGATGAAGGGTGAGTCTGTGAACTCTAAAATGATGAGGGCTTCAGTGATTCTAGAGGGTAGGATCAGTCAATATCTAGCTAGGCTTAAACCTCAACAAAATCATGAAGCCTTAGTTGCAATAAATTGAGCTCATGCTTCTCATTACCTTCTCTATTACCTTAAACCATCCTTTATATTTAGAAATCCTTGATGAAAGCGGAATAATTGAACAAGTTGTGGTGTTTGGTTGTAATAAAATACTACTGTGCTATAAGAAATGATGAGTTTAATGATCTTAGAAAGGTACAGAATGATGAAGATCAAAGCGAGCAGAACTAACAGAAAATTCTGTATGGTAGCAGCAAAATTGTTTGAAGAATGACTTTGAGCAACTAAGTCATTTCTACTATTATAAGTACAAAAATTAAAAATGAAAGACACATGATGAAAATGCTATCTACATCTAGAAAAATAACTGATAAATGGGAGTATGTGTAGAATAATTATGTGTGTGTGTGTGTGTGTGTGTGTGTGTGTGTGTGTGTACACATCTATTTGTGTTTAGTGGTAGCCATCTTTAGGGTGGGGGCAGAGAGAAGACAAAAAGGAAAAAAAATTGCATGATAACTTTACTGTGTATTTGGAGGGAATAGAAAGTTGTACATGGTAGATTTGTAGCTTCATGTGCAATCATCTTTTTTATTGCACTGTGTTATAGAAATGTTTGGTTTTTTCTGTGAATTGAAAATCAAATAAATTTGTAAAACAAATAAACAAAAAAAACCTCAGGTGTGGTTCTTCTTGCCATTCTGTTGAGTCGTGTTGCAAATTTTTGACTTTGATCCAGTCCATGCACTGTATTTGACATCATTTTATGTCATGTCCTTTTCAGATTGCTAATATATTCACCTGGTTCCTGAAACTGACTGGCTGCACCACATTCCTTATTTCCACATGTAATATATATTTCTCTCTTATAATTTTCTTCATTTTCCTATCAGACAAAATAATATCATGGACCCTGCTATGGCAAGTCTTCCATTAGTTGGGCCCTAATTTGGATCATATAGACCAGACCAAGCAAGAATTAGTGGTGAATGATATTCTCCCTCCTTCAAAAGTTGGGAGGGGATGAACAAGGGGAAATTTTATTCTGGTTTAGATTCTCATTATCTATGAGAAATTAGTTACTCAGATGGAAATGATGAGAACTGTGGAAGTAAGTTGTTAATTCATCTCAGAGTTTTGATAGAGAAGAAGATATTTGGGCATAGTATGACATACACTGGACTAGAATCTAGGAAGGATGGCAGATGCTCAAGGGTGAAATTCTGAAGACACAAAGGGAAGTATTCTAATCAGGAAGAAAAATGGAATTTGTCTGAAGAAACTTATGTGGATGCACAGGGAACTCACCAACCAACTTAGATTTTTTAAAAAATGGGTAGAAACAGAAGCAAGGCCAGTTAATAGAGAATAAATATTGGTGTGATATAGTCCTGTAAATGTAGTGTTGGGAATTTTAAAGCTCAGAATAAGCTGAGCCTGGTGGGAGAAGCTAAGGACAACCAAAAAGCTATACTGAGGGGCAGTTAGGTGGCACAGTGGACAGAGCACCATCCCTGGAGTCAGGAGGACCTGTGTTCAAATCTGGCCTCAGACACAAAACACTCACTGGCTGTGTGACTGTGGGCAAGTCACTTAACCCCAATTGCCTCATCCCCCCTCCCCAAAAAAAAGTTATGTTGAGAGAAAAAATTAGGATTAAAGAAGGGATAGGATCTTTGCTTGGGGTGGATGGGATGATGAAGACTGGCAACAGAAATGAGGCAAAAGTGCTCAGTTTTTATTTTGTTCTTATTTTTTCTTCAAAGGAGAATGACTTTCATATGTGAAATAATGGGGAAAAATCACTAGTAGGGAGATGATACACAACATAAGTAAGGAGAAGATAAGAGAGTAACTAGCTGTTCCTGATGAATTCAAATCACCTGGCCCCTATGAACTACAGCCTTAGAGCCTGACAGAACTGGCATATGTGATTATCCAATCCATTCCAATCTGTTAGTGATATCTGAAAGATCATGGAAGGGAAAGGTGGAATCATGATAGTGAAGTAGCAGAAAGTACAGTGAGCTTCACTTCTACCTACCTCATATCACTCCTCCAAAAAGTTCTTGAAAATGCATCAGACCAAATCCCGGTGAGGAAATCCAGTGGGTCATTTGCTAGCACCAGTCAGAACACGGAGAAAAACAGAGAGGTGTATGGACAACAGAGACAAAATCTGTCCTGGAACAACCTCACATAATATTCCTACATAGGACAGGCTGCATACTAGGGCAAGGAGAGGCCCCAGATCCAGAATTATGCAGGGTAGATATATAAACTGGAAGATTGTTGTTTACTACCAAGTGCCTGCTTACAGATTCAGGACTGACTGAGCAGGGGACCTATGCTTAGGGGCAAGGTTTCAGAGTGAGGATTGACTATCCTAGGAGTGTGCTCAGCAAGAAATGAGTTCAGAAAAAAGCAGAAGCTGTGTGACTCTGAGGCCAAGATCAGTCCTGTCTGAAGCCTGCTGCAGAATAACCAGGGCATGAATTTCAGACTAAAAGGTAGCCTATAGTTCTGTCATTCTGAGCCATCAGAGCTTTCAAGCTAGTTGATAGTAGTTTTGTTCAGCCTTAGTCTACTGGAATTCTAAACAAGGCAAACCCACAGGTATGTTGCCTAGGCTCAAACTCAGACCAGGAATTTGCAGAGTTTAGATGGGGGAAGAAGAGGAAACAGTAACCAGACTTTATTCTAGATCAGACCACTTCAGGAGCACTGAAACTGTCCCTGAGATCCTGGAATAATGCAATACTTAATGCCCCCAAGAAAATAGCAGGAGGATTAGACTAGACATTTCCTGACTGAACAAATTATTGTGTATAAATGTGATGAAAAAAATTGTGCTGTAAGAAATAATGAAAGTCTAGAAAGGTTTCAGAAGAACTTATATGATCTGATGTAGAGTGAATTGAATAGGGAGAAGAGAACAATTTCCACAATGACAATAATACTGTAAAAACAATTTTAGAAAACTGAAGAACTCTGATCAGTGTAATGACTGGCCACAATTCCAGAGGACTCTTGATGAAACAAGCCACCTACCTTCTAACAGAGACAGATTTTTCTTTTGAATGGACATGGCCAATATGGGAATTTGTTTTGCTTGACTATGAATGTTTGTAACATTTGGTAACTTTTGGTTTTTATTTTCTTTCTTAGTTGAAGAGCAGTGGGAAGAAGAAAGAGTGGATGTTTACTGACCAAAAAAAAATAATAAATTTAGTTTACAAATGAAGCAAAAAAATGATCATGGAAAATAAATTGGAGAAAGGAAGGGACAGCTGGGTGGCTCAATGGATAGAGCTCTAGCCTTGGAGTCAGGAGGACCTGAGTTCAAAACTGGCCTCAGACACTTGACACTTACTAGTTGTGTGACCCTGGGCCAGTCACTTAACCCCAATTGCCTTACCAAAAAGAAAAAAGGAACAAAGAAAGATAATTGGAGAAAGGCAATTGTCCCAATTGCATAAAAAGTTAAGAAAGCAGAGTCTATAAACTATAGGAAAGTGAGCTTGATATTGATTGTTAAGAAAATTCTAGTTTGAATCATTGAAGAGATGAGTTGGTAAACATCTAGTTAGGGACATAGTATTTACAATTTACAGTATTGTAAAATTTACAATTTAATGGCTTTATCAAGAGCAATGTGTGAGACTATCCTCTTTCCCCCCATTTTTGGACAAGATTTCTAAAGTATTGGATGAGTTTATTGCTGTGGAGACAATTTACTTCAATGTAAGCAAAGCTTTTGATAAAGCATCTCATGGAGAAGATGGAGAGATACAGATCAGACAATAATACAGTCAAATGGATTCAGAATTGGTTATATGACTGGTTTCAGAGGTTGGTTTTTTTTTTGGTTCAATGTCAATGTGGCAGTAAGTCTCCAATGGAGTGCCCAAGGCATCTGTACTTTGCTATGTAAATTATAGGAGAAAACAAAACAAAAATAAACCTTCCCAACAATGAGAACTTTCCAAAAGTAGAATGGTCACTTTGAGAGGTGGTGGGTTTCCTCTCCTTAGAGGTCTTTAAGCAGCGGGCTTGATGACTAGTCTTTGGTTATGTTATAGTGGGTATTTCTTATTGTGGGAATTGAACAATGGTCCAATATGGAATGTCCAATGATATAATTTCCTACTGTCAAATTCTGTGATTCTTTGAATTGCTAGCCTTAGGGCAGAGGGAAAATCAAGTAGGCAAAATCTTGTACACTAAATTAGCCCTAAAGTTCTAAATAGAATATTGGAATGAAGGATGACTCACTGGACATCCTTCAGGTATGTACAACACAATTGGCTGAAACTACATGAAGGACTGTAGTTTATGACATGGGGAGGGGTTGGGTGAAACTGGAGGTAGAAAGACACCCTTGCTCATCCTGACTCTATTTTGAATCTCAGATTTGACTGCAGTGGGGAAGGACTGAATGTTACTGTAGCTTGGTGCCCAGAATTAGCTCTACTTTCTGATTATTTTTTGCTAGTCTAACAAATGCTAAGGAACTAAAGAAAAAAACATGGACCCTGAACAACAACACATCCTGAAAAAGGGAACCAATTGGTATGAGTATCAAATGTACTTTCTCTGCAGTCTGTTTTAGAGCCCCGCTAAAATTCCCCCCAAATTCTTGAGAATATTGTAGAGTGCTGAATTTGGAGTCAGAAGATTGAGGTGCAAATCATACTTTGGACATTGACTAGCTGTGTGCACCTAGGAGAATCACTTTATTTCTTAGAGCTTTAGGCTCTTCATCTGTAAAATGGAAACAATAACATCCGTACTAATTTTTTCACAGTGTTGTTAAGAGGAAAACATGGTGTAATATTAAAATGATATACAAATGGATGCTAC